TATCTCAAGGCAGCAGTCACCGCGCCGACCGACTGAGCGAGACTCGCCGAAAGCAGGCGGCTGCCTCGGGGGTTTAGGGGTTAAGGGGGTTCAGCGTCTATGGGTTTAGGGGTTTAGGGGTTAGGGTCCAGGGCCAAATCCGAAACTCCGAACCCTAGCCCCTGAACTATGTGTCTTCAGGGTGAAGAAAGAACGACACAAATCAACAATAAAAAGCCAACGACATAAACAGAGAAAGGAAGACGGACATCATAAAGCAGAAGCTGAAGAGAGAGAGAGAGAGAGAGAGAGAGAGAGAGAGCTATATACGTATATACATCTATACACAAACATACATATCTATATTTAGACATACACTGTATACATATATATAAACATATAGCATATATGATTAATTCTACGTATATATATATATATATTGATATATCGATATTTATACAGATGTTCATGCTCAGACTCTCCGACTCCCCGATCCTCCATTAGCGGCCAAGCTTCGGGAGCCTTGTTTCGGCTAGGACTGGCGGTTTGGGGATTCGGCGGACGGACTTAGACTTAGTCTTACCTTTGGTTAGTAGGGAATGGAGGAATGGCGTAGAATTATAACGACTACAGTATTACTACCATTCTCGTATTGCCTACTAACCAAAGGTAAGTCGTAAGACTTACTTCTTCGTAGCTGAGTATGTGATGTAACCTTTGACCTTTTGCGGCTTGTACAATCCTGCCATAGTTGAAAAGGTTAACCGTTTTGGGCTAGGGTACTGAGACCCCAAGTATTCATTAATGAAAAGCGTGGGGAGGAAAAAGGGTGAAGTTTGCTTAAAGGGCTACCACGCGACACATCCCTGGTTTGCACGTCCCCGCCCAACCCTTGATGTGTTGGATCTCTTTTCGGTTGAGATTTCTGGCTGCTTATGATGCCACTTCCTTATACTCCCGAAATCGCTTAGTGTTTCGGCGTAAGGCTTCACTTGCCAGGCAGCCGTTTGCTCCTCTGTCTTGTTGGATAATTTCGGAGACGCGCTGGTCTGCCAATTATCTCTAAGGGTTTGGGGTTTAGGGGTTTAGGGTTTAGGGTTCGATGGATCCGACGCCCTTAAAATGTTCCAAAAGTTGTCTGCAATAGAGGGCAGACGGCATAATTAACCGTCGGCGCGAGGCCCAATTTTGCCCGATCGCCCACGACGACGTGCTAGCTGTCCCCCAAAATGCTGACTTGAAGGAACCCTGTGGAACCAATCCAATCCTCGCTCGAAAAAGATTTGTTTGATGCGTTGCCGGCTCTAGACACCCTTAACCCTACACTTGCACGCACACTTGCAACTGACAAAGACACAAGCAAGTAAACTGACAGCCGAAACCTTCAACCCTAAACCCCAAAACCTTAGTAACTGAGTATGTAACCCTTAACCCTTTGGGCTTCTATTCATACAATGCCACCAGAATCCTTGTTTGGGCCAGGGTACCCAGCCCCTAAGAATCCCTAGACTTTGAAACCTAAACCCCTAAAGCCGAAACCCCAAAATCCTAACCCCAAGGGTCCAAAGGACCCAGTAATGAGGTACTCGGTTTCAGGACAGTAGCTACGTAGGTTAGGATTTCGGAGAGTGTATGATTATTGGGTACTTGGACCCTTGGGGTAATCAATCCTACTTGGAGGGGCAGGGGACTTCGTAAGTAGGTTATAAGTAGAGTTTTAAGTACCCTAAATGGAGTTACCCCAATTGTAACCCTACTTATAACCTACCCTACTTACTAAGTCCCCTGCCCCTCCAAGACCTTAAACCCTAAACCCCATAGATCCCTTGAAGGAACCCCCATGGATCCCCAATGGATCCCTTTAAGCAGCCCTTTAAGAACCCTTACTAAGTCCCCTGCCCCTCCAAGTAATCTTCGAACCCTGCAAAGCTTCCGATCATTCCGGCGCACGAGGTGGAGGCTCTCCTCGAACAGCGCAGGTTCGAAGAATACGCGGCCAAGGGCCCCAGAAAGCCACGGAGAGTATAGTAGAGGCCTTAGGATTCCCCTACATTACCCAATCCTTTCCTTAACATGGACCCTAAACCCGAAATCTTGCACCCCAAACTCTGAACCCTAGAACTGAGTTTGGAACCCTGCTCCGACCTCTAAGGTTCAAAGTCTCGCTTTTAAGGGGGGTTTTAGGGTTTAGGGTTTAGGGTTCGGTCTGGCGTGGAGTTTGGTGCTTCCCCGGGCTGCACGGTTCAGGGTTTCAGGGTTTAGGGATTTGGAGCTTAGGGATTTAGGATTTAGGGTGAACAGGTAGATGAGGGCGGTATAGTTGTAGAGTTCGTAGGGAGCTACAAGCGGTTATTAAACGGTTATCAGTGTAATTGCTCTGTTTGTTGATTGGTGCCATGCCACTTTCAGTATTGACATGATTGCAAGTACTGACAATTGATATTCATGTTATTGTTGTTATCCGTGATTTGTTCTTCGTTGCGTGCAGCGATTAGTACTACTATAATAGTTATCGTTGTCCTTGTTCTTGCTGTTAGTGTTACGCACCCATTTCTTAATATTATTCTCCTTGTTGTGTTTATTACGTTGTAGTATTGGATGTTCTATTGTTCAGTATTACAGCTACCATCTTTGATCCTGGTGACTATGGTTGGTTATATTTGCGTGTCGTGGCAGCATGGCTACAGTGATTCTACCACGATGGGCCCCGAAACCCGATTCTTTCCTTTGCTTGCTTTTTGAAATTTTGAGGTCCCTACTCTACATCTTCCCGAGTTCTACACGCTAACCCCTAAACCTTGAATCCCGGACTGGAGACTCACAGCCCCAAAACCCCTACATGCATCCTAAATCCGATCTAGTCTAAACCATAAGCACCCAAAGCCGCAAAGTTTTATATAGTGCTCGTAGACGTATTGCAAATCGTATACCCTAAGTAGAACCCCTGTAAATCAACCCTAAGTAGGACTCATACATATATATATATATAGATAGATAGCAAATCCCTTTATAAACCCTACGTCTTCCTCACCACTACCAGGCCCAACACCGTGATACACGACGTGGGGGCGGCTCTGAGCTGGAGACTTAGCCATCCAGGGTCAGGGCTTAGCGAATCGGGGTTTAGGGCCGACGGCAGGCTTTAATTCATTCGGATTCGTTGAGGATTCTTCGGGATGTGTTGAGGGTCCTCCGGGGTTTGTACAGGGTGTGTGGATTTCGGGGTTTGAAGGGACTTCTTGAAATTAGGGGTCCCTATTCGAAGTCCTAGTGTTTCAGATCTGGTTGTGCTTGGGTAATTGACGTGACTTCGTGAAAACTCGCCATAACGTTAGGTTTGCGGGTCACGGCTTGGCTACTTGGCACTGTTCCCTCCCCTGTGCTCCTCTGGATTTACACATTCTTAGTCACCTGTTTTCGAAGCCTTAAGTTCGCTACTCTCCAAAACTGCTGGCTCGCAGGGGATGCGGTGGGCTTGAAATCGAACCCTCTTATCCGAAACCCCTTTGCTGGAGGGGAATTATGTGCATTTTTGTGTTCCAGCACCCGTCCGTGTATCAAGCATATTGACAATACCTGCATAGATATCTGAAAGTCATAACTAATTAAACTGGATGGTAAGCATATCTATGTATATATGTATGCGCTGATTTACTATTTCGTTTATGGGTCCTGGAGGGATTGCGACAATGCCTTTTGCTCTGGGAGCAAAGGTGCACGACGCAGTGAGCGAAGGCACTTTGCAGGTGTTCATGTACACATCATCGCACAGGGAACGGGGACGGAGCCGAATCGAAGGCGTTTGTCCTTGCTGTTGCTTTGTAGCTTGAGTGCTCTATACCGTGCATATGCACACAAGCAACTGCACAGGCACATACATGAATACGTATGTACTGTGCCTGCACAGACGCACATGACATACTGCGACAGCAATACATGAGTTTTAACATGATTTAGCCTTGCATGCATACACCTGAAGCATCCGCAACTGCACCAGCGTCGCGCACGCACACACACACACACAGACACACACACACACACACACACATTATCACACATTCACGGACGAGCCCTAATAATGCTTGCATCTGCGCCGAGAGTCCACATGCAGACAGCCACACTGCTTGCTGCTGCTGCACATGTAAGGATGCCGACGTCTGTATTTAGCAGATGTGCAATGTCCTGTCCTCTCTCCATGTATAAGCATGTTGATTTCTTACACGACATAAGACGGCCTCTATCCGGCCTTGCCTTCCGTCCCTTGATCATCGTTTGCGTCCGCAGAGCCAAAAAATCAAGCGTGGAAGCCACAGAGCAATGGAGCAATCCAGGTTTGGAGCCCTACGGTTGATGTATAAGTCCCGCATTACCTTAATGACCCTAAACTAATGGAGTTATGGTATTCCTTATTATGGGTAATGCAGAATTTATATCCTCAACCGTAGTGTACTTCAGGTTTGGGCATTTCTGGGGGTTCATGGCAACTAGCCCAGCGGCAGTGGTAATAGAGTCTCAGTCAAATGATGTTGAGTGCTGGGTGTGGCAGCTATGCAGGAGCTGATTGTTTATGCCTATGCTGTCCGTTGTGGCAGGCAACTGAAGAGTACACCTCCCGGATTCTAAAAGTCCTGCCTTCGATTTCGCTTGGCCACTCGAGCTTCTCTCTGTCCAAATGTTTCCGTGAATATCGATGTATCGACACATCCAGAGTGAAATTGCAATCTATTGACGTTGTTTAGTGTTGGGTGTGGCCACCGCTTTGCGGCACCTACAGCGATTCTTGAGTTGGCCACTGCGGCAGGCCAGCCACTTCTTAAGCGTTGTTTACACTGCAAGTGTAGGGTCTCCGCTTTCGCTTAGCCACATGAGCTCATCTCTGGACTCTGGTTCTCTGAATCTGGAAGTACCGTTGACACTCAGCATAACTATGCCTTGGCAGCGCGTAGCAAAGCAGGCATGCGACACTTCGATAACTTGCCCTTGGCTTGGTACGTCGAGCTTGTGGTTTGCCAAGTGTGCCCATGGCTGCTGCACAGCTGTCTCCCGAGGACGTTTCGATGGCGTCTTGTTTCTCTGGCAAAGCCTCATTCCTTACTTGCTGCTTAGACCATAGCGTAGACGAGTGTCCAGTGGGTGGGATAGACAGCCCTTGTTGCGTGAGAGCTGCGGGACCCAGTCGCTGGTTTATTGAAACGCTTCGCTGCTGGCATTCCTTCGGGGGACAGGGCACCGCATACGGAGCTGGACCCCTCAGAAAGTTGTGCTGCGGTGCCGGTTCCCACAATGACAGATGCTTTGGAGGTGACTTCTCAGCTGACCGCTGCTGTGTGAAACCACCAGCCATAGCTGTTGCGACCGCTTTGAGGAAGGAGACCTGGAGGTCTATCGGGGAGCAGTATCATGCCGAGTGCCAAGGCGAGTCGCAGCATTTTTCTGGAGTTCGTTGTGTTCCTGACTGGCTTTCCATGGACTATAGTGGGCTGTTCAGCCATATTTTATACTGCGGTCCCAAGGTGAGTTCTTTGGCATTTCACCTTCTGATGATGGTCAGCATGAACAATGCTCTTTACATGCACGATCCCGGGCCTGGCTTGTCGGGGCACAGCAGCATGCTGCTGTCGAAGTGTTTCCGTTTTTACGACCGAACTCTGCGTGCAAGCAGATTTCATGCACTCAGAGCTGCTACTGTCGTTCTACTCTCGCCCATGATCCATGACTTCGACGTTTTGATGGAAGGACTTGCTCTGCAACAGTTGATTGGGCTGGCGGCTAAGGACCCGCGAGCGCAGGTATTGGGCCTCCCCACCTCGGACAATGGAACCTGGTCCTGGCCTGTGTTGCGCTTGCGTCGTGCGTATTGGAAGCTATCTGCAAGCCGCTATCCTTTCGCATACGGATCCTGGGCTCAGCCACATCACTCTTTGGACCTTTCGCATTGTTATGCCGGGGATACCACGAGTGGTACCAGGGTTTACAACTCCTCCGTTCTACGAATGCTGCTAACTTCGCCCCAGCAGAGGGCTGACCTGGGGTCCGCTTGGATGCTGGGTCTTGACCTTGGGCTGAAACAGCTGAAGCTTCGCTGTAGAGTCAGTAACCTTTGTCCTGTTTGTGTTACTGTAGTCCCTATAGAGCTAAGTACATATACTACAGTCCTATTTTACAATGACAATCCAAAAGGACAATTATATGTATATGCGTGTGTATATATACATACATACATACATACATACATATATATATACATATATATACATATAACGTAGTTCGCTGATACACTGGGGTAAGGAAGAACATGCGAGGCCGGGCACTCACCTGTCTGACCGGTGCCGGCACCATCTTGGAGGATTGGGCTTCGGAGTACCATACTTTAATACTTAGATAGTGAACGGGGGAACTTTAAACTTTTTGGCCTCATATATTAGCTCTATCTTAGAAGGTTTGAACTTTTTGGGGGCCGGTTGTTGAAGAAGAGAGAATACTTTTGTCAGGACCTGTTACTGAAAGGGAACCATTATGAAATACCCTAAACCCTAAATCCCTAAAGTCTATACTTTTCTCTCCCTGGTTACTTCAAAACCCAGAGGAAGAGTCGTACTTGCTGCACACCGCGCTTGAGGAATCCCTTGCCAGGAGCTCGCAGTCAGGATTCATACTGTTGATGGACAAAATCCTACATGACCCTTGGGACTCTAAACTATGGGAATTATGGCATATTCCTTATAATGGGTAATGCAGGATTTTGTCCATCAGCAGTAGTACGGCCTGGAAGCTTCCGCGCCACTAGGACGTAGACTTAGCTGACTTAGCTGTGCCCGCGATGAATGCAACTGGCAGTCTAGCTATACGGGCCAGGGTCGCAATGCCGTGCCGGCAGGAGCTACGACATCGAGGCAGCACGTTTCCATCCAGCTGGGAAGGTGCAGACAAAGTGCATCACAGGTGGTACCCTGGCTGAAGCACTTTCAGCAAATGCTGCTGGCATGGTGGTTCCATACTGCATCCGACTGGCTTTGAGACTAGGCTTGATGTCGGCGTGTCTTTGTGATCCGCTCCTGTCCCTTGATTGGTCAAGCCAGCTAGCAGGCCAGGACAGTCAGCAGTGTCAACTTCTACAGCTAAACCCTAGACCCTACCTGTAGTCTACATTGCAGGGGCACCTTATAGGATCCTAATTGTTATATATTTGGTTAAACCCCAAAGAACTACAATGGAGACTATAGGTAAGCCCTAAACCCTAAACCCTTAGGACCTAGGGTAGGCCGTTATTCACCTTTTTTAGGGTTCGGGTTCCCTTATCAGCCCCTTTAAACAGAAAAGGGCGCCCTTGTTATTCCCAGGTTACCCTTGGGTCTAGACCCTAAGCCCTCAACCCTAAACCCTAACCGCTTAAAGCCGCGAGGCCGACAGGTTCCATCTTTGGATTCGGATGCCGTGACTTCAGGCTGTAAGCATTCCGACTGCCCGGATCCCCTGAACCGGAAATCCGTAATCCTGAACTCCGCCTCCGACATCTTAAAACAGGGTTCAGGGTTTAGGGCGTTAGGGTTTGGGGCTTTGGGTTTGGGGGTTTAGGGTTGGGGGGTTTAGGGTTTAAGGTTTGGGGTTTGGAGGTTTAGGGATAGCACAGCGAGCCCCAAAGATCCGAAAGAAGACAGAAACCGAGGAAGCACGGCATGGAGAAGCTGAAGACGGTTGTCGAAGTTTTCGCTGGCCCGGATGCAGTGCTGATGCCAATCTACGGAACCTCACTGAACTTGGCCTGGAAATTGGCACAGCTATGAAGTTTGAAGCCCAACAGCGCGGTTTAAGACTTTTTGCATACAGGGCTCCGATACATTGCAACGGAGACAACACGGTCTTGGAATCGTAGGTCACGGCTTGGGATTTCGGATTCAGTGGGGACATTGCTGTATCGGCTTGGTGCAAACACTTGTGGTCGCTTGCCTGATGGGAACCCTGCAGAGCACACTGAGCGCAGTCTGTCAGTTTGGGATTCGCAAAGACACCGAATGCAATTCACACAATGCTAGCACTCAGCCATGCACACCCTCTGAACTAAGCCCGGTAATCGCATTCCTTCACCTCCGGCGCGCCGAATCCTGAGTAACGCCAGACCCCAAATCCTTACTAAACCTAGACATCCCGAAGGATGCTAAACCCTACCTATAGTCTCCATTGTAGTTCCTTTTGGAGGGGTTATCGTACAGGATCCTAATTATATATTTGGTTAAACCAAAAAAAGAAATTCAAAGGAGACTATAGGTATAATGCCGAAAACCGCAGACAAAGGCGACAGTATAGAACATGGTAGAACTACAGGAGCAAGTGCACCGAAACTGCAAGAAGCCCCCCCCCCCCCTCCCCCCCCAGGAAGAAGTCATCAAACCCCAAACCATAACACCACCTGTAAGGCCAGGTAAGCCCCAAAACTTCAACCCCAAACCCCTATAGGAGCATCATGCGGCTGGGAAGCACGGAAGGAGAAGTGATACCCTGGGACTACGATGCTGACATGGTCCTGGTTCTGCCGCTTGATTTAACATGTTGGGGTTTCGGCTGTATGGTGTATTCTACAGTCTCCTGAGGATTTTGTTTAATGTTTTTGTTCATATACAACCCACGAGAATATTAACCATATCATTCTTATTATGGTTCTAGGGGGGTTTAGTATTATCCATTGTAGTTCCTTTTTTTGCAAAGGAGGGTTACTTTATAGGATCCTCAATAATGTAGTTGGTTCAACCAGGGAAGGGAACTACCATGGAGACTATGGATGGAGCCTTAAAGTTCGGGGTTGGGCTATAGAGCCATCAGGATATCAGAGTTTAGGGTTGCAGGGTTCCGGGTTAAGATTTAGGGTTCCGGGTTAAGGTTTAGGGTTTAGGGTTTCTTGCCTTTAGTTTAGGTTCTAGGGTTTCGTAGCATTGGTGTTAAGTTTTGTGGACTGAAAGGTTTGGGGCCTAGGTTCAGCGGTTCGCGGTGCTGCAGCCACCACTGCATACTTGTACAAGGGACCGTATACACAGGCATGTCTGCATGAGTGTAATTAACTGTCACTATCGCGCTAGCCACATCATGAGCATACGTACAAATCTGCAATCCTGTTGCCAGTAGTGCTATGTGAACTACAAACACTATTACCAGCACCGCGGATCAGCTTGGTTCTACTGCTTGCGTCGCACGTATCCCGGAAGCATTCCGCTCACAGTCTCTCTGTGACTGTTTCTTGCATGTGTGTGGCATCGTCCTGTATTACTAGGTATCGGTACATTTAATCATGTCCCCTATTATTGTTTAATTCAGAGCCCGAATTACTATAACTAGTTTGGGTGACGTTTGAAATCGACACCTAGCTCAGCTAATTCTATCAGTTCGACCATCTGTGCTATCAGTGCAGGTATTTTGCAAACTTCAACATCATTTCGTGAGCCACAGTGTTATTGTCTTGTGTACTCTAATTCTTGCTGCTGTCGTTTACTTGCTAGTCTGAGTCTGCCCACGGTTGTTTTGCTCTTACGAAGAGTTACCACCTCGCCTAGACCCCCGGGAGGATCCAGAAAGTAGATCCCCTAATTTGGGGACCTATACTACTAAGGGTACTTTATAGGAACCCCCATTAAGGGATCTACTTTTTGGATCTTCCCGGGGGATCGAGCCATGTTGTGACCTGCCAGGCCCATCTTCGTTGACCAAAAGGGGTTTCCGAAAATTCGGGGTACCTTATTTTGGAGTCCTTATAATAAGGATCCTACTATTTAGGGTACTATATTAGGGTCCCCTATTTTCGGAAACTCCCATATTGTCCGTGTCTTGCCAATGCCTGTGTTTTTGCCCTTGCACGGGGTGGTCATGTCCTCATCACCATCGTGATCTTCGTTACTCAAATGACTTTGACTGTGACCACCCCAGACCTTTCAATATCCCTTAATTAAGGAATATCCCTTAAATCATATTAGGGACCCTATTAGAATTTAAGGTATATTCCTTAAAGGGTTTTGGAAGGTCTGGGACTATCATGATATTCACAGGCTACCCTGAACCCTAAACCTTTAACTCGCAGGCCCCGAACCGTAGGGGGAGGAGTTTCCCCAAGCGAATTCCTTGTCGCTGCAGGAATCGCATGAACGTGGAGAAGCTGTGTGGGCACTTAGAAGCTGCTGGTTTTACTGTGGAGTATGGCGATGTTCGCACACATTTCGGAACATCGGGTCGCGAAGTTCATCTTAAAACAGAGTATCGTGACCCCGACTTGAATATCACCGCTGATATAGACCTTTGGCTGGAGACTGACGGCGCCGCAGGTGCGACTAGCGTGCTTCCCCATTCAAGACTTCGCTTGCACACGCTGCCCGTGGTTGTCAACAGCGACGTGCTGTTCTGGATGCGCTTTCGTGGCACCACTGCCCCTCGCGACCACCTTTACCCCAACGAAATGCATGGCTACTTGCCGGTTGCCAGGCAGCTTTGGAAGTTCTTATCTAAGAAATAGTTTATTCTTATATAACCTTTCTGTCTTTCTGTCTCCAATTCGATCCTGGAGCCTCGCAAAGCTACGTGACCAAGGTCAAAGGCTTCGCGTGCCCGGGCCACAGCGCCTGCATACCGCCGGGATGGCTTTCCGACGATGGCTTCCGCGATGGCGGCATGCCTGATGCATTCGCACAGCTCGACAGCTGGGACTGAAAAGCTCGGAACTATCGGAACCCAACACCAGGTTTGCGATATTACTAAACCTCATATCCCAAACTCCAAACCCCTACCCAACCTCCGGAAGTGTTTCGGAGCCCGGCCGTGTCCACTTCAACTTGATAGCCCTCCGACCACCTTTTTAGGTTTCCTTATTATGATTCTTGTCATATGTCCTCAAAAATGTATGTTCTTCGGGGTAAGGTCGCCCTACAACCCCTATTGCATAGAGCCTGCCCTGCCAAAACTTAACCCACCCACAAACACACTCAACCCTACCATTAGTGCCTTCGGTGTTTATCCGCTCGAGATGTCCGGAGCTGAAGATCCAAAATAAGGTCTTTGTTTTTATGCTTGCAATCGGGTTTTGGGGTAGAGTATACTAGTTATACTTGAACAAAAAATAAGGAACCCCTAAGTAGTATGGGTAGATTTTGACAGCATGACACTTTATGTGTCTAATAGAGCTTAGGGGTCCAATGGTGGTGAGTTTATTACGTAGAGAACATGTATGGTAGAAGCCCAAAAGTTGGAAACCCAGCAGCCTCAATCCTGAAGAGAAACGTCTAGGGAATCCCAGCACTATTTGGCTTTAATCCGGTTTCCAACTTTATGGGGTTTACTGCAGGGTCCAGGTTGCCACAATCCCTCGCCTGATGCTGTCCTCTTAGTAGCACCCGCTCCCTACGAGCTGGTGCTTTTTTGGGATCCTCATTCGGGTCGTTATTCGGATAAGGGGGTAATCAGGGCTCCTTAACCCTAATCTCCATACCCTAAACCCTACTTAAAGGATCATGGGACTTAGCAACTAGGGTTATAATTAAGGTAACTATACTTATAATTACTTATAACCCCAATTAAGGGACTAATAACCATGCTTACTAAGTCCCATGATCCTCCAAGTAACCTGCCCTGAAGCCGAAGCCTTGAGCCCCAACGACTGACATCCTACAGCACTTGGAGGAGCGAGGGACATAGAAAGCATGGTTACAAGCACCCTAGTTTGGGCTGAAAGTAACTATAAGTATAGTTACCCTAACAAGAATAGCTCAGTTTCCAAGTCCCATGATCCTCCAAGCAGAGACCCCTCGCCGTTGCCGAGCCTCCCAAGACCCCTGCAGCAAAATCCTGCAGACCCTCAGACCTCGTTTGAAGGTTTAAAAATCTGCGTTAGCTTTCAGCCCTAAGCCCGGAATGCTAAAACTTTATGGCTACTGCGTTTCTCGATATAGATATACTAACGTACTTAATATGTAGACGAAGACATGGTATATGCATGGTCATACCCATATACACACAAGTAACTTGCTTTTCCATATATACACCTACGATACATCAACGCACCTTCGAAAGGTTCGCAAACTTGGCTGCCGAACCTTGACCTAACTTGGGCTCCCCAAAACCCCGGAGGGTTTGGGAGTTACCTAAACTCTACTTATAGTCTCCACTGTAGTTCGTTCTCTTGGTTTCAACCCCCAAACGGAACCACAATGGAGACTATAGGTAGGCCCCGCTTAAAGGATCATGGGACTTAGTAATTAGGTTCATTATTAAGGTAACTATACTTATAGTTACTTATAACCCCAATTAGGGTACGTATAACCATACTTACTAAGTCCCATGATCCTCATCATAGAACCCCTAGAGATCCCTTTAAGGAGCCCTATTATAGAACCCTATAGTACCCTTAAAGGGGGCCTCCAAGTAAGCCCTAAATCTTCAAAAATCACTCGGGCTCAAAGGGGAGAGGGCCCAGAGGGGTCCGCAGAGCGCGTCGCCATGCGCCTCTTCGTGCGCTCGCTTGTGGGCGAAACTTCGTGCCCGAGCCAAAAGCAGATAAGGGTCTGTAAGGTTTAGGGTTTAAGGGTCTTGGGGATTACGTGATTTAGTACTTAGGGTGTATGGCTACAGTGAGTACTACATGTGCTTTGTAAGGTTTCTTCAATCAAGGGTTCTGTAAGGGATTTTTGGTGCTTTCCAGGAGCAGCGAAGATCAGGGATATTTCGGTCTAGGTTCCCCGGCAGTACCCTTTTGCTCTTTTAATTCTGGGTTCCCTTGTTGAAACCAAATCAAAGATATTCTAGGAAAAGGCTACTTTCAGAATTTAGGGGCTACCGGGGAACCTAGACGAGCGATAAGAAGACTTTATAGCAGCTTCTGTTTGACTGCTACTCATGCAGGAAGCCTGCTGGGGCTTCCAAAAGTGCGGTATCCCCCCCGCTTTGGCTTGGTTACTCGGAAACTAGAGTTATCATTTAAGGTATACCTTAGCTATAGCTGAACTTATAACTACGTACAACCCCAATTAACGTACTCATAACCATGCTTACTAAGTCCCATGATCCTCCACTGTAGACCCCTTCCAGATCCCTTGAAGGAACCCTATTATAGAACTCTATAGTATCCTGAAAAGGAACCCTGAACCATACCTACTAAGTCTCATGATCCTGCAAGTACTGGGGAACCTATCTATAGTCTCCATTGTCGTTCCTTTTTGGGTTTAACCAAATATTTAATTAGGATCCTACAAGGTAACCCCGGAAAGGAACTACAATGGAGACTGCAGGTACTTGTGCATGTTGCGATCGATCCCAGAAGCGTTCAGTCGGCCAGGCCCCAACAAGCAGAATACAGGGGCTTACTTGGAGGATCATGGGACTTAGTAAGTATGGTTATAAGTACCCTAATGGGGGTTGTAGTAAGTAATTTTAAATCTAGTTACATTAATAAAGACTCGAGTTACTAAGTCCCATGATCCTCCAAGTAAATACTTACCAATACTATTTAGGCATTTAGGTATTCTTGTTGTATAAATACCCCGAGACCATATTTCTCATTATTATTCTTAATGCCTCACATACTGAAGCCTTCTTCCTCGAGGGTTGTGGGATTCCGGTTTCGAGTCTTGAAGCCCTCAACCCCTGCCGACAGCTGAGGGTGGTTGAAACTGATGGCCAGGCCTGCTGCACAGCTTTTGGTTCATAACCACTGCTAAGCATTGCATCTTGCGACAATCACGGGTTCTACGTGAAGAGAAGTGTCGCATTCATGTCTGCGAAGCATAGCAAAGAACCTGAGAACACTCAGTAGGCCAGTCATATATCATAGGATTGGCGTTGCCTGCGATACAAGTGTTGCTCGTAGTGCGATTTCTGTGCGACGATGCTGTTGCGGTTGTGGCGACGACGATATTCCGCCATTCATACCAACTGTGCCAACAGTGGCCAACAGGCGTCATGCTTCTACTCGAGGGGCAGCGCTGCAGTTGCCGGAAGTCTGGCAACAAGCAGTTGTGTGACTATGTTCAGTCATAGTGCTGTGATTGCGACCGGCACAAACTGGCAACTAGAACTCTTACGATGAACACATGCTGTATTACGTCATCGCACCACTGCGACGACTGCCACCGTCATCACCAGAACAGCAGCCACGTCGACCACGAACGACGACGACGACGAGGACGATCGCGGCGACAACGACGACGACGACAAGTGCAACGATGACTACCACTAGTACCACTATGGCTACGATGGCGACGGCGACGAAAGCGACTGCTACTCCTGAGACGGATATAGGTAGCCAGCGATGCCACTGATTGCGAGACTCATCGAGGCCGTGAAGGTACGAATGCAGCTGCAAGGACAAGGGTATTCTCAGAGGAAGAGTAATTGTCATGCCAAAAAGAAGCGGCTGTCGCATTCTTGCTTCTGTTCGCCTTCGTCTCCAATGTCCAAGCAGATATCCTGAACACTAAGCTCTACATATATTCCCTAAATCATATTTGAGATTCTTGTTTAGCTACAATACTGCCCCCTCCTTCGGGCACTTTCTTGGAGAATCCTGATCCTGCCTTCCTCCAAATTTGGGAGTTTCCGAATATTAGGGGTACCGTATTTCGGGCGTCCTTATATACAAGATCCTACTATTTATGGTATTATACTAGGGTTCCCTATTTTCGGAAACTCCCAAACCCTAAACCCTTACAGAGCCCTTTAAGAGAACCCCTATAATACTCTTGTAGTACCCTTTAAAGGAACCCTAAGGTACCCCCTATTTTCGGAAACTCCCAATGAAGCCGAAGCCGAGACGAAACAGCCGGGCAAGGCTGATGTCTCCGCCCTGAAGGCGCAGATCGCCGCTGTCCAGGCGAGTTGGGATACGGTTGATGATATAAATCCTCATTTATGCCCATAATAAGGATTATACCACATTTCCCATAGTTTCGGGTCCTTAAGGTAATGCAGGATTTATATCATCAACAGTAGTAATCGTAACCCCAAAGGCTCAACATGGCAAAAAAAGCCCTCATATAGTATGGTCTTTGGGTCCAAAAGCCTTAATATGAGTCCTTCGAGCCTCAGGGAAAGTGATAGTAACTGATAGTTAGAGTGGCAGCAATACCATTCTCGGAGAAGCGGATGTCGTCAACAGAATGTTAGAAGAGCTCTTGTTGCGGCCGAAGCTGTTTGTCCCAGCCGCCGACGTCCCTGATACAAGTACCGGTAGGGTTGTATCGCAGTGCTCAAGTATCTACAACGGGGGTTAGAGCTGCAGTTTGGGGTTTAGTTTAGGGTTTAGGGTCCAGGGGAGGGTTTAAGTTTAGTATTTATTTGGGGTTTAGGCAACTTCTGAACCTTCTTGATGGCCCTTTGCTTCTGACTTCTGCAATATCCGAATCAGCCCTCCATCAAAACCTGAACCCTAAACCCTACAAGCGTGAGCCCTACAAGCTCTATGAGCCCTCAAGCTTGAACTAGGTTTCTATATTAGGGTTTAGGGCTTACCTGGACCCTATAAAACCTTCCTTTGTAAGGTTTCCTTATTCTTTCATACAAGGGGTAGGTTATTTGGGGTCCAGGGACCGTGAGGTTCATGGGGAGTTGTAAGTACAGGGCTTGCCCTAAACCCTTACCTAGACCCTAAACCCTAAACCCTAAACCCTAAACCCTAAATCCTAAACCCTAAACCCTAAACCCTAAATCCTAAACCCTAAACCCTAAACCCCTAAACCCTAAGCTGTAAGGAGAAAGCCAGTCGTGGGCTCAATTACTCGGAGGTTCATGGGGCCTGAATGGTTTAGGGTTTTGGGTCTAGGGCAGTTATACTTGGCGCCATAAGTCCCCTAATATCGGCTATAAGTTTATATTATATATCCTGCTCCTTAGCCGTACTTATTATAACTACCCATCCAAGTAGGATTTAGGGAATCGAAGCCTCCGCTCCCCTCCCCTCCTTGAGCTCTTGCGGCAGGGCCTTCCCGTGGAGGAGCAATGCCTCAGCTTTGGTGGCCAGCTGCTGGCCTCCGGAAGGCTTTGCCGTTTTAGGGTTTAGGGGGTAGGGTTTAGGGGTTTAGGGGTTTAGGGTTTAGGGTTTAGGATTTAGGGTTTAGGGTTTAGGGTTTAGGGGTTAGGGTTTAGGGTTTAGGGGTTTAGGGTTGAGGGCTTACGGCAGAAGCCAAAAAGTTGGAACATCATGATCCTCATGCCCTTGAGCTCAAGTAGAGGGAATCCCAGCGCTAATCAACCTAAATCAATGTTCTAGCTTTGTGGGGTTCACTTTAGGTCTTGGAAGGCGTTGGCCTGTGAGGATGTGCGCCTTCAAACGGGCCGGAATGGCTAATATGGGGGGGGGGGGGGCGATGCTCGTGAAATATTTCCCCCCAAAACCCTACCTAGTCGAATTATGAGTGCTGCTCTCTTAATTATGTGGGTGGTTGTCAAAATTAGGGCCCCTGACGGGTACCCTAAATATTAGGTGCCGTATTATATTAGGGACCCAAAAAGGGACCATAATTTTGACAACCACCCATGTATGTGCGCCACCAAGAGTACTGATCCGTCGTATGCTGGCAGCTGAAGGTTTCGGAGTTTGGGATTTCTGTCTTGGACCAATCCAGGGGTCGGACTAGCTAGAAATTCATCGTGCCCCCTTCTTATAGTCCCTAAATGTATCCCTGTGTAAATATGGTCTAGTTCTGACGGCCTCTATAGTAAGGTCTAGTATCATGCAACCCTAAACCCAAACCTTGCAATCCCAGAACAGCCTAAAACCCAGATAACGCACCTTTATTCCTTGATTTAGGATTTGTAAACCTGCAGCGGGAGGCTCGAGGAGTTTGGCATTGAGGAGGAGCTCGTCGCTCAGTCGGGTGGTGCTTCGGTAGCGGGTGTGGACCCTAAACCCTACCTTAACCCTGAATAACCTACCTTCTTTAGGGTTCCTTATTATGATTTCTTTATATAAGTCCTTAAAAATGTAGGTTCTTCGGCATTACGGTAAATCCTAAACCCTAAACTAAACCCTAAATCCAAAACCCTAAACCCTAAACCCTATAAGCCCTAAAAGATAAGGGGTCTGCATTTTGAAAAGCCAGGGAGTCGGGTTGGGTGCTTCTTCTTCCATGATTCTGCGGGAACAGGTTTGTACAGGGATCCAAGATTGCCTATAGTTTCTGGGCATTTTGTCTGCCCATGAGGATGTCCAAGTAAACTTGGGCTCACTATATCGGTACAGTCTCTGACCACGGATGGTTTTGACAGTAGCTTTTCACGGTAGCTGGAACAGCATTCAGTTTCAGCAGCTGGGGCGAGCATGTATCGGGACGCCTGTTGCTCTTGTTCACTTCGGGACACGGTCCGAGTACAAGAGCAGCGATGTCAAGACGTAGCGACGTAGGGTTTGCTCCGCGATCTGCGTTCCACCATCTGGGATTGAAGGCTGGCCAAGCGAATCAAGCAATGAGAAGGCATGTAGTTTCAGGAATACCGACAGCGCAGCCATGTGGCATTGCGACTGTCTTGGATCAGGAGCTGCATGCAGAGCAACGAAAGAGGTTCAACGTGAGTCATAGTCTCTTCGCTCATGGCTTGCGATAGCAGCCTTCTATCATGGTCTTCGTTTTCGCCGGTCACAGCCTGGACAAGAAGTGTCCAATCTAGAGTCTGCGCAAAGTCGGTAGTGCCAAAAGCTCGTGCCGAGTACTCACGGCATCAAGCACAGTACTACCCACCCGAAAACTCACGACCTCCTGATGTCTAGCAGCCTTTAAAGCCCTTACGAGCCCAAAGCCACTCGAGTTCCCCAAGCGTTCAGATAAGATCGATTCAGATGGGAGTTTCCGAAAATAGGGGACTCTAGTATAGTACCCTTAATAAAGGGAACTCCAGAAAGTTGGAATATGGTTTCAGGGTAGGATACCTTATAATTTACCATAAAGGGTTTAGAATAATCATATTCCAACTTTCTGGCTTTTACTTTAATAGGATCCTTATGATAAGGACCCTATTTTCGGAGACTCCCAGATCCGTAAGTATGGTTATAAGTCCCTTAATTGGGGTATAAGTCATTGTAAGTATAGTTAATCTAAAAATAACCCTATTTTCGGAGACTCCAGATCCTGTGAGGTCCACCCTCTTCCTGTCTCTCGAGCTGCAAGGCCATCGGAAGGGTTGGAGTTTACACCTTCCACCCAGACCCTTGGGAGGATCTAGAAAATAGATCCCCTAATTTGGGGCCCTATACTACTAAGGGTACTTTATAGGAACCCCCATTAAGGGATCTACTTTTTGGATCCTCCCGGGGGTCTGGGCAAGGGGAAGGGATTGCCATTTCAGAGTTGGAATCCACACGGCCTAGTTTTTCGGGAACCAAGACCCCGAACCCTAAACCTACCTCAGCATTTCGCGGCTTTGGGTTTCGGGTTTCGGGTGCACCTTTTTGGACCTTCGGTGCCCAGTTTAGGGTGTACCAAGTTTAGGGCAGTGTCGGGTTTGGGATTTCGGGGCAGATTCGTGACCCCCTTGCTCAACCCCCAAACCCCGGCCACGCCCTCAATGCTTGAAGGCGACTGTAAGCCCTGCAGCCCCTGTGAAGCTATACCGCGTATACGTTTCATACGTTTCGCAATCCTTGCCAGCCGTACTGCCAAACCTTGAACCCACAAACGTAGTCCAAATCTGTTTACCTCTGTCTGTTCTTGGAGGCGGAGGAAAGAAGCGCAAGAAGAAGACGTGCCACACGCTTCACATGGGCTTCATGTAGGGTGCACAGGGCTCAGAGGGATTTTCGATACTTCGTCTAAGGCATACAAAGGCTTCAGATCTGGAGACGGGCGTGCTCAGTCTTGGGCATGTTGGCCTGGGGCTGGTTGTGGCGGTTGCTGTTGCCGTTGTTGCTGTTGGTATTGGTGTTTGTGTTGGTGTTATTGCAAGTGTTCTCTGGTTCTTTGCTGTTGGGGATTGTTGCTCTTGCGTCAAGAAAAGCAGAGACACCCGTAACGGTAGTGCATATGCTTTACATGTTGCTTGTTGATGGTCCTGCTTGTGCGCCATAGGCTCCCAGCATGCGATACTGTTAAAGCACACATGGGTGGTTGTCAAAATTAGGGTCACTTTTTGGTAGCCTAAATATTATAGGTGCCGTATAATAATAATGAGCCAAAAAGCGACCCTAATTTTGACAACCACCCATATCCAGACTTTTCGCCTCCGAAGCCCAGCAGATCGCAGCATACTTTGGCCCGGAGCGCTCCTTGACCAGGAGCGTGTAGGGTTAGGGTTTAGGGTTTAGGGGTTGAGGGTTTAGGGGTTTAGGGTTTAGGGTGTCGCTCAAAGGGACTTCATATTTCAATGCTCTCAACATGCTGACTAGGCTTGTCCCTATCGCCCATGCATTTATTGCTTTGCATTTCTTTCCTCAAACTGTTGGCCGTCACAGGATGGAGTCTAGTCCTAGGCTTCACACTTGCCAGGTACACCAAGCCCAAGAAGATCAAGCACAAGCGCAAGAAGGCCGAGCCAGTAACGGATCGTTCTTTGGGCCTGGTCTCAAGTCCGAAGTCCCTAACCCAGAAGAATGAGCCTCCCCCCTCTTCGGAGTAGCGACATATGTATCCATATCGAGATGTTTGTGTCCATAATCAATATCTGGATCTGTCTATCCCTCTCCATTTTTACTTTGTAAGGTAAATGAATACTGAATCAAAGAACAAACAACGAATATGTTGATTCATCAATGATGAATGTGCATATTGGTCCCAGCTGGAAGGCCGTCTCAGAAAGAGTGCTACTTAGTGACTTAGTTCACCAAGAACATACTGTACAGTATGGGTGTTGCCCGGAGATCCTCATACCCGAACTTGAAAGACTGTGAGGCCGCGTTTGCCCAAAAGGTTTGGTTGAAGATGTCCATGGTCCGTTCTGGCTCTTGAGGATACTTGAAAGCACGTAGGTAGGCTTTTTGTAAGGTAACCTCATTCCGGGTATGTCCTATTCTTGCTAAGTCGCTTGGTGCAGCATGTTTCCAGCTTTGCAGGGTGTACCTACCACGCCCACCAAACAGCCTTTTTGTGGATGTTTATGATATGTAGTGTAGTTCTAGTGTTAAGAACTGAGAGACCCGCTTGGAGATACATTGGCACGGGCTTGGTACTTAAGGTTCATGGGGCTTAGTAGCTAGGGATATAAATCAGGCAGTCACTAGATTTGTAAGCAGTATACGTAAGCCCAGCTAAGGAACTGATACCTGTTCTTAGTATCAAGTCCGAGATGATTACTAATAGTACTATTGTTGCTATTAATTGTTACTCGCATTACTATTATCACTCTTCTTGCTGTGATTGCTATTATTGCTATTAACTGTTTTTCGCATTACGAGTATCACTCCTTTTGCTATAGTTGCTATTATTGCGGCTGTCAGGTGAAGCTGGCTGTGCTCAAGTTCTACAAGGTCGACTCCAACGACAAGGCTGCTGATTCGGCTGCGAAGGTTCTGGGTGTGTACGACCTTATCCCCAAATAGCCTACCTCTTTAAGGGCTTATAAACAGGAATCAGAATAAGGATTCCCAAAAAAGCAGGTTTTATAGGGTCTTAGTAGGGTTTAGGTCGTCGTGGTATCTCTGGCTTGCTGGCTAGGGCTTGCATCTGTCTGAAGTCCGAAGCGCCGGGTTGTAGGTCTGGGTGCGACAAGACGTTGCATTCTTCTTGCTATGCGCTTAAACAAGCACGCGGAAAACTTTGGGTTTTGGATGTTCATGCTTGAGTTTGATCTTCTCGACATGGTGCCCTCATGTCCGCAATTCCAAACTCCAAACCCGGATCGTAAACTGTCGTAAACGCCATAAGCATTGGAGGATAGATAGGTTTCCGAATTTTCACAAGGCGTCCACACCATAAACCAGCACACATCGGCACGACCCAAACGCCGCATCCTAAACTCTAAACCCTCAGCTTGCATTCGACTATCCGGGTCTTCAGGCTCTACCTTTATTCTCCATTGTAGTTCCTTTTTTGTTGTGGGGTTGTATAGGATCCCACGTAAGAATGAATTTGGTTAAATTAAAGAAGGAGCTACAATGGAGACTATGGGTAGGGCTCGACGTCGTCCGGTCCGCCGCTTCATCTTTTTGTTCCCTGCTGCTCAGAAGGGTCTATTGCTGCGGAGATAGGGCGCCCATGGCTATAGTCTATAGTAGCTTTGAGGAGTCTTACTGAGGAGTCTTATGCAAGGGGTTATGTAAACAAAAGTCCTATTCCTTTTATTGCGTGTACACATGCTCCCCGCCCCACCGCCCCCCCGAGCCGGCCTGTAGCGCGCTCAAGCCTGCAGCCTAAAGCACCCAACGACTCCACAGCACGGGGCGTGGAACTAAATTCCGAAGCTGAAGGCCCAAGTTCCATAGTGGGGGAAGGAGGGGGGGAGGACGACATGCAGAAAGAATCGGTGAAGGCTTGAACCACTCCACCATTCCGGAGAAAGCCAAAGAACCGTTCCACAAAGCGGGGGCTGGGGCCCGCCTCCCGCTCCGGCGCAAGCACAAAAGGCAATGTTTTTTTGTTGCGTCCCTCATTTTCCGAAGGCCCCAAATGGTTGAGATTAGGGCTGCAGGTTAGTATTTGGTGGGCTTCTGAGAATGAGGGACCCCTGTTGAAGTAAAGGTTCTGAACTTGGGTTCTACAGTGTCATTTTCAGGCTTTAGGGTTTACCTGAACCCAAATAACCTGCCTTTGTAAGGACCGACATAAAGAAATCATAATGAGGAGCCCTAAGATGTTCTATACCGTTCCAGGTAGTGTTTAAGTGTTGCAGGGGACCTACACCCGAAACCAGAATCCCAAGCAACCCAAAACTACGGTTTAAATATCGGATCCCTATGCCATTTAAACCCTAAACACAGACGGCGGGTCTCCCATGTCGAGCATTTCCAATTCTAACCTCCTCCCCCCTTTCCAAGCATTCTTGACCGTTGAGGGTTTGGGTTTCACAGGCAATATGTATCTGTTCTGAGAGTATGGGTTTGAGTTCTCTGATTTGGGGTGAGTTCTGTTGGGTCAAAGAGAGACTGACGAGTTCGAAATTGTCAGGTTCAGAGACCATTTCAAGCTTGAAGCCTGTCTGCCGACTCAAAAGCTTATGGATGTTTAGGATTGAGAGAACGCGCGGCAATCCGGTCTAGCGCAAGTCGAGTTGGCTGGGTGTGTCGCCCCCGAGCTCGGTACGGCCCTCGACACTGCTAAACCAAGCCCCTAAACCCTAAACCCTAAAGCCCCTAAACCCTAAACATTCCTTAACCAAGCCATGAGCCCTGGACCTTAAACTCCTTGAACACAGGTCACACGCTTGCGTCGCGAATGTCCTCATGAGACCTGTGGGCGCGGGCCCTCAAGTACAAATTTAGGGTTACAGTAAAGTTTAGGGTTTGGCCGCATCCTACGATGGGAGCTGGGTATGTCTGGTCTTGTGTTTGGACTGCAAGATTGGTTCTTCCATGCCGCTTGTGTCTTGTAATCCCAGAGACTCCCGAAGCCCTTCGTTCTAGGGATCCTACTTAATTTTCAGGTGTACTCCTTATTTAAAGATGTTTAATTGAAACAGCTTCGACTTCATGCGGCGAACGAACCACACCTGAAGCGCCCCGACTCTGAGTCGTGAGGAAAGCCCCCACCCCAAATAGCAAACCCTAAACGCGAATCCTTAAACCCTAAACCGTCAAACCGTGAACCCCAAGACCTCAATCCTGAATCCTAGATCCAGAAAATCTGGTGGTTCCCAGGATCGCCATGCTTGAAAGGTCATGGGACTTGCCAGGCTGTGTCATACGTGGGGTTGGGGGCACTCCGATTGGAGTTGCACTGCGTATAGTAACACTACATGCTCATCTGTCTTACCAGCAGCACTACTAAATCCCTAAACCCTGAACCCTGAACTATACTATATTGTTATGATTACATGCGGTGGGGGGGGATGTGTATGGTTCGTGCCTTAGGGCCCAGTATCCCGTAGGCCCCAAACCCCAGAACACAAAACATAACGCCCTTATCTGTGCCAACTAAGGCCAGCAGGAACTCGAATCAGACACACCCGGAGCTTCTATGGACCAAACGCGACTAAGCGCTCTCACTACTAAACCCCAAAACTCAAACCCAAGCCTCGTAACCGTTTAACCCCAAACCTTAAGCCCAAGCCCCAGACTCCAACCCTATAACCCCTAAGCCCACGCAATTGCATACAAGAAGGAACGCAGCTCAAGAAGCCAATACTAGGATCCTCATTATAAGGGACTCCAAAAGGTACCCCTATTGTTCGTAAGCTCTACATTCAAGGCCGGGAGTCTTCATGGCTATGCACTTCAACCGCTACTACTGCGGTGCGCTACTCGGGAGTCGCGGGTTGCGAACTCCGGGTCTTGTAGTGGGTGGTTGTCAAAATTAGGGTCCCATTTTGGTACCCTAAATAATAGCGCCGTACTATAATCGGGACCCAACAAGGACCATGATTTTGACACTAGTGGGAATTTAAATTCAAGGGCTCAGAGGGTTCAGGATTCTAAGTCGCATTTTCAGGTAACATTGAGGCTTTTAGGGATTATGGCGGCATCGGGATTCAAGGATACGAAGCTTCATGTCAGGATTCAATTCACTTACGATTTCCTTTGGAGGTTTCAGTTGAAGGAATTCATTGAAATTCATTTTGATTTAAGAGTCTGAGGTTGGGGTTCAAGTAGGGCTCAGGTATATTCGTACTTGGGGGCCTTGAAACAGTCCTTGGATTTGGGGTGCTTCATGAAGGTTTCGGGCTTCGGGCAAAAAAGCCCAACATGCCTTAGAAAGCATCGCTGAGCCGGAAAATGATAGCTTCGATGGCAACCCGCAGCCGGAAGATGGGAGCTTCCTGCACATTGCAACCTACTTGAAGGTTGATGGGTAGTTCTACGTGGGGTTCTGCGCCCCCTAATATATAGGGTATGGCTATAGTTATCCTACTTATGAGCCCTATCCATGAACCGTCAAGCAGCCCTATGGCGCTACGCCCTCGGCCCCTGAATCGCGGACCCCTCACACCGTAGTTTCCTAAGCCTTACCTTTCGCATTTTGTATAAAGTACTCAAATAGATAAGACAATGACCTTCACATTTTGTATAAAGTACTCAAACAGAATTGCCATGCCCGGGGTATAGCTGTTTACAACACCAAACCCCACTGCAATCCAGCAAGGCTCGTGACAAGGCTGCAACACCTGGAACCCCAGGGTTTCGGGTATAGAACATGAAGTGCTGAGTCATTTTCCCATAAACACGAAGCAGTGAAGCATCAATAGCTGTGTGGTTGAAAGAGACGCACGCCCGAAGTGCATGGGCATGGCTTTGCCCGAGTCCAGGCAAGTGCCACCTGACTTATCTCATCAAGAAAGAGGATAAGTGAGCGGCAAGGCGTCGGGCTTGACACTTGCAGCAGAGCCGGATATGTATGTGTGTGGTTGCCGTGTGTATGTAGTATGCGTATGTATAACCTAGAAATTTACCATATGTATGTGTATATATATATATATATATATTTATATCTACAGGTGTACGTCGTTTTTGCCACAGAGTGCAGTATTGTGTGCATGCATGCATGTAATGAATGTACGGAGGTATGTGGATACGTGTGTGTGTGTGTGTGTATGTATGTGTGTGTGTGTGTGTGTGAAAGTAAGGTAAGTATGTATGTCTGTATGTGTGCATGTATGCATGTATGCCTGTGTATGTGTGTAGGTATACTATATACAGGTATATGTACATGAGAACATGAGCATGTATATGTACATGTCGCTGCAGATGTAGATGTACATGTATACATGTGCATGTAGTTACCGGTACAGCAGGTATAGGTACAGGTGTCTAGACTACCACTATCAACAATAGTTGTACTAACAATATGAATAGTAGTCAGTAATAACCGTAATCAAAAGAATAATCACAATAGAAACAGGGCTATTTTCAATTGTAGTGCTAATAACAGCAACAAAAACAAGAATAAAAGGATAAGGCTAACCATAGTAGTAATAGCAAGAGTAAGAACAATTACAACGCACGATCATCATGTAAATGCGCAGGCATAATATGCCCACTTATATAGATGTATATACAGAATGTCGTATTATTGTACATCATAATCTAATGTTATACTGTGTGTTTCGAAGCGTATGTATACATATACATAAATATACATATATATATATATATATATATACATATATATATATATATGTATATACACACACATGCATCTACACGTGCGCATGTATAAGTATGCGTATGTATATGTGTATGTATATGTAAAGGTGTATGTATATATAGTTTTATAATATGTAAATATTATATATATATAAGTATAAGTACATTCGTATGTATATATGTGTGCGTGCGTTTCTGCGTGAGTGTAGGCACCCGTTTTTTCTGGGTCTCCTTGCCTTTGTCCTTGTTTCTTTTTGAAAACCCTTGGGTGGGAGGTGAAGCCTGCTTCCCAATATAGGGAGCATCACTGATGACACCATTCTGGCATGCATGAAAGTCTTGTCACATTTCCCCGTCTGGAAGATCTCACATCCAGCAAATCAGAACCAAAGCTTTAAATGCTGAGTCCTAAACCTAAACCTTCATTCCCCAAATTGCGAGCGTTCCCAGTCCTCGCGAGTCCCCAAACCGAAGTCGCTAAACTTCTTGAGCCCTACCTCGAAGCAGGCGAGCAGCGGAGGCCAGAACTGCGGATTCGAAAGCGGGCAGAAGCTCAAAATCAAGGGCGGAGATGGTTGGCGAAGACAGCTGAGTAGTCTACTCGTACTAAAAAAAGTCATCGTGGTAGTATCAATGGCAGTGGCAGCGGCAGACGAGTTGCAGTCGGGGTCGTAGTCGTAGTGGCAGTTAGTAGTAGTAGTAGTAGTAGTAGTAGTAGTAGTAGTAGTAGTAGTAGTAGTAGTAGTAGTAGTAGTAGTAGTAGTAGTAGTGGTAGTAGTAGTAGTAGTAGTCGTGGTGGTGGTGGTGGTAGTAGTAGCAGTGGTAGTAGTAGTAGTAGTAGTAGTAGTAGTAGTAGTAGTAGTAGGAGGAGGAGGAGGAGGAGGAGGAGTTGTACTGGTAGTAGCAGTTGTTGTTGTTGATGATGTTGTCGTTGTTGTTGTGGTGGTGGTTGTTGTTGTTGTAGGAGCTCAACCCATGATTGCATAAACAGTCTGCCTCTTCTTCCTCCACAGTTTCTCCAGCGAGTAAACATAGTCTGACATGTTCGCCTCGACTGCTGATGCGTTCATGGACACCCGCTGTTCACAGCCACCTGGCTCGGTTGTTGGGGCGTACGAGATCTAAGTCTTAGTCGGAACTGGGATCGCAGCAAGTATAGCACCAGCAATATCAGAAACTGCAATGGATTTAATAGCACTGCTATACTTCTGGACTGGAGGCTTCACTGTCAGCGGCAGCATATATCCGTTTCGTCTACAAGACTCACTGGGTCAAGGATATGCTTTTCCAGGCGCCCGAAACCTTGAATCAACGGACTTCGCTCCGTCTTAACCCTACTGTATAGTTACATTATAGTAAAAGGGGGCAGCCTCATGTATGTGCAGAAGACAGTACACAATACTGCAATAGTAATGGTAAACAAATTATATAATGTTCCCCGATGCCTTTATTGGGCCCCTAGACCCTCAACCCCAAACCCTTCAAAGGTACCTTACACAACAAGGGATGTTGTTTTCAGATACCTTGTCGGCTGTGGCATGAGACTGGCTGTACGGAGCAGGCCGGCCGGTCGCGCCATTACAGCTTGCCTAGAGGCTCATACCCTACCCTCATTTTTAATGTACCCTTTTTTCTATATAACAGATCCTAACCATAAAACTAGGTATCCCAAAAAGAGGGGTAGGTTATGACCCTGTAGGTAAGGTCTGGGTCCAGGGGTTCAGGCGATTCTGCTTTGGAGGTTCAGGGGTGCAGGCGATTGGGGCTGTGGGGTTATATGGTTTAGGGATGTTTAGGATCTGGGGTTTGGTGTCTGAGAGGAATCGTGCCCGCATGAGCACGGCTGAACAGAGCCAGTGACAGTTGGGTTTGGGATTTGGGGCAAGTTGGCAAGTGGACAACGTGTAAAACAATCAAGGGGTCGTTTGGACGACTCGAGCAGAAGTCTGTGTGAATGTAGACCTGGTACAGCTGAACCGGAATGTCTGTTCTAGCACGTCCAGCCCTTGAGCGGCATGTTGGAGGCAGTAAGCAGTGGTACTTGCCGATTGCCGAAGACGTCACAGTAGTGGCCATGATGTCCCTAAACCCTAAACCCTAAACCCTAAAACCCCTAAACCCTAAACCCTAAAACCCCTAAGCCCTAAACCCTAAAACCCCTAAACCCTAAACCCTAAACGAACAATGATACCCACGAACCCTAGGGCTCCAGCTACCTTAATAACGGGTTAATGGGGTACATTTTAAATGGGTAGAACCCTAGACCCTAATATAGAACCGCAAACCCCCCATATAGAGTTCTAAAGCCGAATATAGAACCATATACATTCGAATATAGAACTCTAAAGCCCAATATAGTAGCCTACTATTTAGGTAGCCGGAGCCCTAGGGAAAGACATGGAACTTGCCGGTCTTCCTGGCAACCGGAGCGTCCGGTTCCAAAACGGCCACCAAGTATTCGGAGGCCTCACAAGGTGGGATGAAGGTAGGGGGGATTAAGGATCCCTTATATAAGGACTCATATTTGGGAATATCCCACCTACCTTCATCCTACCTTTTGAGGCCCCCGAAGTATTTCCTGGTTCGTTTCAAGCCTCAAAGCTGTGGAAGCCTTGGCACTCCATTCCTCTTCCTTCCAACCTTAATAGTCCTACTCACAATGATAGCAATGAGAATATCTAACAACAAAAAAAGTAATCACACATAGTGATAGCCATGATCATATTCGCATATGTTAGCAGCAATAAGAGTAACAGTAGTAATTACTCATAATGATAGCCCCCATTCTTTCCATCCTTAATAATAGTACGGTTGATGATAAAAATCCTGCAGAATTATGGCATATTCCTTATTATCGGCATTGCTGGGTTTATATCATCAACCATATCGTATTGCTAATAGTGATGGCAATGATAACAACAACAACAACAACAACAACAACAACAACAACAACAACAACAACAACAACAACAACAACAACAACAACAACAACAACAACAACAACAACAACAACAACAACAACAACAACAACAACAACAACAACAACAACAACAACAACAACAACAACAACAACACACACAACAACAACAACAACAACAACAACAACAACAACAACAACAACAACAACAACAACACCAACAACAGCAACAACAGCAACAACAACAACAACAACAACACCACCACCGCCAACAACAGCAACAACAGCAACAACAGCAACAACAGCAACAACATCAACAACAACAACAACAACAACAATGACAACAACAACAACAACAACAACCACGACAACAACAACAACAACAACAACAATAATAATGGTAATAACAATAGTAATAGTAATGATAGCAATGATAGTATTAACAACGATGGCCATAGCAATAGTAATAGCAATAGCAGGGTTCCTGCACCGTAACACTCCCTGGGTGCTGGACCTTTGCCGCAGCCAGGTACACAAATGTGCACGGCGGCTATGAGGAGCCGCCTCCTGTCCAGGGCTTCAGGTTTGGGATTTGGATACCGGTTTAGGGTCTGGGGTTCGTTTTTTTCTTTCTAGACTTTGTTCCACCTACTTAACTCGGTCTACAAACATAGTCTGTACACAATACTCACACACACCCAGGATCGGTGCTGAGAAAAGGCATCTACAGGCTGAAGTTGGCTTGGTGTTGGGCTCTAGAAGCCTTCTGTTAAGCTATCCCCGTAGGACAAGAAGGCGTGGCCGTTGTTGTTTAAGGATACCGGTCCGAGCCGGTTGAGTTTGTCTATAACCTTGTGCATTTGTTGGGCGTAAGTGCTTCGACTGCTTTTCCAAGGACGGAAGTCCACGGATGCACCGCGCGTACTCGAAGTCCTCTTGGCAATTACATCTAGATGGTGTGTTCCGTTTTCGATTCAGGAGTATCTGAGAAGTTACAGCTTACCCTAAGGTCCCAAAGTAGTTCCTTTTTTGGGGGTTCATATTTAGAATCCTATAAGTTAATCCCAGAAAGGAACTACTTTGGGGCCTCTGGGTATACCATACCGATCCCATGGGCAGTTGTAAGCGGTCTCCGAGTGGTTGTTGAAGCTATGGATACGGCGACCCCACTTGTAGCTACCCGCACGCCTTGTAAACTGAACAATTGTATTGAAAGACCTTAGCAAAGTCCTCTCAGACTCTTCTTGAACCATGGCTAATAACAACCAGCAGCTTCTCCAGCACAGGCTCCAAACAGCTTCTGATGTTATCCCATCCATGCAGAGGCCCCTGGCTGCCGAAACAAACTGAGCCCAACCTTAAGACCACAACCCTACCTATAGGCTCATACCTTTTTTGAGGTACCTACTTTTCTATATTCTATATAGGAGGTCATAAGCATAAAACTAGGTACCCTAAAGGAGAGGTAGGGTATGACCTTCCAGGTACTTGGAGGTTCATGGGTAGTTTCAAGTAAGAGGGGTGACACCTGATATAGGCTATAACTACGTATAGTTGTCCTACATAGAAGACCAACTTATAGCTTCCCATGAACCTCCAAGTAGCCCCTTAACCCTCATATCACAGATCAGCTGCTGAGCAGGAGAAGGGTACCAACAATGGCCGCCCAGCTTTCCGGAGGACGTTTCCCAGAGACTCCCGAACCCCTTCAGAGAGGAATGTACTGCATGGACTTTAGAATGTAATTGGCGCCCTACTGCGAGTTGAGGTATACTCCTTCATTGAGGAATATATTTTAAACTATAACAGGAACCCTCACAAGATTCGAGGTATGTTCCATAGTTAAGGGGTTTTGGAGTACTCTAAACCCTAAACTGTATAGATCCCTTGAAGAAGCCCAAGGTATTCCTTACATAAGGGGGGTATCAAGGGGTCTGAAGTTTCTCGGTTTTTTTCTCTTTGGTTCTTAGGTAGTAATGGGTATTGTAGTCCCTACTTGGAGGATCATTGGACTTAGTATGTATGGTTATATGTACCTTCACTGGGGGTATAAGTATAGGTACCTTACTTCTAACCCTAGTTACTTCGTCCCATGATCCTTTAAGTATATAACCCCCAACCCTAAACCCTAAACCCTAAACCCTGATAGTCCCCAGAATCCATGCCCCCATTCCCTACTCAGCGCCAGGGAGGTTTCGCGCTCAGGCTTGAGAGCTTCACGCCCTGCTGGCTTTCCAGGATGGTGGCTGGGTTTAGGGTTTAGATTCGGGTTTGGGGTTTAGGGCCTAGAGGGTTTAGGGTAGAGAGAGCGAAAGACAGAGAGAGAGAGAGAGAGAGAGAGAGAGCGCGAGCGAGAGAGAGAAGCGGTGCAATGAAAACTGAGGGTGAGAGCTTCGCAACACTTGAATGTTTGGTCTGGTAGATGCGCGTCATACAAAATGACACATGTGTGGGCACGAGACATTCACGATGTGTCACTGCAGATGCATTTCAATTGCAGTCATGTTGTAGTTTTGTGCTGATTGCACAAGTATACTAGGATGCCCAGTAGTACCCTTATTCCCTTTTCGTAGTCCTAGGCTCCTTATAAAGTTACCCAATACCAAAAAGGGAGCCCTTTTAATCCTAGGTTACTGCGCATCCCAGTAATTATAGGTGCTTACACCGGCAACGAAGGTCGGAGTTGATAGTTTGGCCGTTTCGCCATTGAAGTTCTGGAGTCTATACCCCTCTAGGCCCCAAAGTAGCTCTTTTTTGGGAGTACCTTGTAGGATTCTAAATATGCACCCCCGAAAAGGAACTACCTTGGGGCCTTAGGGTAAGCCTTATGTGCCAGGTGTGCATACTCTGGGGCTTTGCGTGCTGGGGCCTTAGCAATTACTTATATAAGTTTGGGGTTCCTTATTATAATTATAGTATACTGGGCCCCAAAACCCTGTTCTAATTATCAAGGCTCCTATAGTATCACCCAAAGAACCCGAACTTGGCTGTTGGGAGATGGTGCTGCGCAGGATGTGCAGAATTTGCAGTACATGTTGCATGCACAGATGTCGAGACTTCACTTGAGAGCGAATTACAAAAGCTGGGCTCGTGTGCATGTGCACAATGACAAGACCGTATGTATGCCATAGTTTCATACTGGTCAATATAGCAGACTTCGCATCCATATATCTGTAATACGTATTGTATCTCTGTCAGATGCACAGGTGTATGGCATCATGCATGAAGCGGTAGTTTATTGTGTTGTTGTTTCTGTATGGGTCAGTGCAAGGTTTGAGCTTGTGGGCACACCGGTGCAAGAGACCTTGCTATTTCTGGATCACTCCTCCGTACCCCTGAATCCACCGGTGAAGGGGGATCTTTCAAGACAAGTTGTTTGCGTTAATGGCCTGAAGAAGATGAAACAGTACCCTGTCTTGGTTGTTACTAACCTGCACGCATGTCGTATCCCTGGCGAGACACTTCTAAGAAGTGGTTTGCCAACACCCGTGTGCACCCCTATATGTAGGTCTAGGGACCGTAGAAAACTCTGCGAAACCGTATACGCATGACCGTACCGGGCTTGCCGTTCGTTTCCACTATGTGCCCTTGCTGTGGTTCGATGGACAGACATGAATAGAGAAGTTTGGACGAAGACACTGATGCATGAACTCTGTGCGGCGCGGCGATCCGTAAACAAAAAAACATACTGCCTGATTCCGATTCCTACAGCAGAAACTCCATAGAACTCTCTTGATGACCTTTATGTAAATACCAGAGTTCTGGCATTGCAAGTATTTCAGTTGGAACCCGTAAATAGCACTGGTACGACCCATGTAACACGAACTCCGAACCCTATACCCTAAACTGTGCAGGACGACTGGAGACTGCTGGATCTTTTTCCAAGACGGGCTGCGGTCCAGCGCTGAAGGTAAGGTGGGTTAAGCTTTCACCACATCCCAGCATGATCTACTCCGTCCTACGGCCCCAGAGGTAATATAGGGGCCAAAATTGTCAGAATAGGCTTTTGGGGGTCACTATACTATCTTATCACAATAAGGAGCCCCCAAAGTAGTCTTGGTAGTTATGTAGGCGCCTGTACCAGGTGATAGAAGGTGAAGATACTTTTGATGGACAAAATCCTGCATGACCCTTAGGACTCCAAACTCTGGGAACTATGGTATATTCCTTATAGTGGGTAATGCAGGATTTTGTCCATCAGCGGTAGGACTGGTTTAGCGGTTTAGCGTTAGGGTCCGGACTTCGGTGGTTTCCGGGCTTGGCAGGAAAGGGTCTGGTCAGCTTTGGACGATGCTCCCCGTCGAGTTACTTTGTGGCATGTTAGGGTTTAGGGTTTAGGGTTTGTGTTTCATTGTAAGCCAATGTCAAGGGCTTCTGGAGAAAAGAGCAGCTTAGGCTTTCGTAGCATGGGTCCAGGATGGTTCGGGCACACTCGCATTCACTTGAGGTCTTGAGTCATTGGGTTCCGAACGGGAGGTGGTGGAGGTTTAGGTGAGCTGATATTTGATGCGGGCTTTGGTTGTTGTCCTGTTTCCAGCTCGGGTTCGCTTGCACCTCGGCGTGCCTTTGCTTGTAGATGTCTGTGCGTGTGTGCGGGCGCTGGTTCGGCTCACGCCGCGGCACAGTCGAGCCAGTTCCGCAGGTATTCAAGGTAGGCCTGTGCTCACTGGGATGGCTGGCGGTGTCAGAAAGATGCAACATCAAGAGCCTTCGGATGGAATACATATTCTGGTCAAAGGCCTGACGGGTGATATGCTGCTGGAATGTCGGGTGCCAGACCATGCAACCATGCGGGATTTAGAAGCGAGGCTAAAGGAAGCAAGGCCAGAGTGGAAGTTTCAATATATCGCGCTCAGCTATGGCGATTGCATCCTGAAGAGATCGCACCAGGTTTGGAAGTCGGCGGACTCAGGGAAGCTCGAACTGACTGCAACTGCCTCCCCTTTCTGCTGTCGCACAGTCTTCGCCATCCTGCACGATTGCTTCGAAGTGGCCATCAATGCGCCAATGAGCGAAAGCGAATGGGAAGATGTCACAATTACAGAGCTACCTTTGGACGATCTTGCCGGCACACACCTCTATATGATGTTCCGGAAGGAGTTTGGGAAGGCTTTCGCGGACAGCCCAGATATCATGTTTCTCAACCATCTCAGCATGAAGTCGCTCCGGCTGAAGTTTGTGTTTTCTTGCTACGAATACCGGGATGACCACGTCGGTAGGGCCCGTAGGGTTCAGAATCCACTGCTTTGCTTGATTTAGAGTATTTAGAGTTCGTGAAGAACAGGACAAAGTAGAACAGAGGTCGGAATTTAGGGCTTCGGGTCTGGGGAGATTCAGCCGAATCCATAAATCCCGAACCTTCAAGCTGAAACCACAACATCGCCCCACGAGTCCTACGGACCAATGAGGACCCTCGCAGAACGCATCACCAGCAGACTCACGCTGCTGCAAGAAAGTGAGCCAGGCGGCGAAGCCTAAATCCGCGGACTTTTCAACCTGTGGTGTTCATATCACTTATTGAATCTCTCTCTAGTTATACTTGTTTTATTGTTGTATGTCATTAAGGTATCATTCTCGCTCGTATAAGTTAGAGTGGTTCTGGATGAGATCACGGTCTTCTGAAACCAACACGCTAAACCCCAAGTGCTAAATTGTAATTAAACCCACGGGCTGTAGAAAGTTGCAGCTCGTTGACTGGCGACAGCAAGGCGTCCTCGACTCTTCCAAGAAGCCGCAAAGTTTGTTGTCCGCTCTAGTGACTCATCACATAGTGTAGGGAGTGTAATATAGGGGCCTTAATAATTAGAATAGGGTCTGGGGGGCCAATATACTATCAATGTAATGAGGAACCCCAAAGTAACAGCATGGGTATTTGTTAAGGCCCCTTGTATTAAGCCCCAAACCTGTACCCCCTGGATCCCAGCATTCTGCCGCTTGAACCTCTTGGAAGATCTGGGGGGTGCTGCAGGTCCTTGCTGTGTGGGAATTCGTATGCCAAGACGACTTCAGACTTGTAAGTGATGTCGGGCATTCGGTTCTCGGCGATGGCGGCTGCGCTGGAAAACTGCGCCCCGAGCCCGACCCTTCAATAACCCTTCAACCCTAAGCCCTGAACCTCGCAAGCCGGCACCCTTTTTAAGCCTCATTAAATCTTAAACCCAAGTCCAAAACGGAGACAACCTGAAGTGGTAGTAGCGGATTCGTGGCCTAAGTCCTAGACCTCAAAGGACCCAGGGCTCACAGTAGAGCGGTTGGTGGGGGTTTAGGGCTTGGCAGGATTCGGGGTGAAGGGTCTAAGGGTTTAGGGCTTTTAGGGCTTGGTAGGGTTCAGGCCCTGGTTTAGGCTACTAGAAGCCTGTGCACTCATCGTATTTAAATGACCCAAGGGCAATTTTATAAGTCCCCTAATATGGGTTATAACTATAGTTTTCCTACTTACTTATATATACCCATGAACCTCCAAGTAAGCTACACTCCCAAAGCTGGTCGATCGAAGTTGGGTTTGGCACTTGTTGTTGAATGCGAGTTTCAGCCGCGAAACCAACAAATCGAAGCCCTAAAAGCCCCCTACCCTGCACTACACCCTAAGCACTAGTTTCAGGGCCCTGAATCCTAAACCCTAAACCAGTGCATGCTTTCAGAGTCGCTGACCCGGGCAGGTTTCAGGCCAAACTCCTGTCTTCTTGCTAGCTGCGTAGGTTTAGGGCGGCAGCTTTGGCTTGACGGCTCCAGGAGAGGAGTTCGTATTTCTCATGGACAAATTCCTGCATTACCCATAATAAGGAATATACCATAATTCCCACAGTTTAGAGTCCTAAGGGTCATGCAGGATTTGTCCATCAGCAGTAGTTATCTACTTTTATTCCCTTCTTCTAATGCCCATGTATTTAAACAGCATGCCTTCAAAGCTGGTGCAAACCTTGTTATAGCTATTCATGCCCCTACACTAAGTAGCCTTTGCCTAATGTTACCCCAAAGCTGCGAGCCCGAAATGCGTAAGTTTCTAAAACCCGCGATGCCAAAGTTCTCAACCTTGAAACCTGTACCATTTCATTATCACTTCAGCGCTAGACGGTTTCGGCTCGCGCCGCGGCACAGTCGAGCCAGTTCCGCAGGTATTCAAGGTAGGCCTGTGCTCACTGGGATGGCTGGCGGTGTCAGAAAGATGCAACATCAAGAGCCCTCGGATGGAATACATATTCTGGTCAAAGGCCTGACGGGTGATATGCTGCTGGAATGTCGGGTGCCAGACCATGCAACCATGCGGGATTTAGAAGCGAGGCTAAAGGAAGCAAGGCCAGAGTGGAAGTTTCAATATATCGCGCTCAGCTATGGCGATTGCATCCTGAAGAGATCGCACCAGGTTTGGAAGTCGGCGGACTCAGGGAAGCTCGAACTGACTGCAACTGCCTCCCCTTTCTGCTGTCGCACAGTCTTCGCCATCCTGCACGATTGCTTCGAAGTGGCCATCAATGCGCCAATGAGCGAAAGCGAATGGGAAGATGTCACAATTACAGAGCTACCTTTGGATGAACTTGCCGGCACACACCTCTATATGCTGTTCCGGAAGGAGTTCGGGAAGGCTTTCGCGGACAGCCCAGATATCATGTTTCTCAACCATCTCAGCATGAAGTCGCTCCGGCTGAAGTTTGTGTTTTCTTGCTACGAATACCGGGATGACCACGTCGGTAGGGCCCGTAGGGTTCAGAATCCACTGCTTTCCGTGATTTTAGAGTTCGTCCTGTCGAAGGACAGGACAAAGTAGAACAGAGGTCGGAATTTAGGGCTTCGGGTCTGGGGAGATTCAGCCGAATCCATAAATCCCGAACCTTCAAGCTGAAACCACAACATCGCCCCACGAGTCCTACGGACCAATGAGGACCCTCGCAGAACGCATCACCAGCAGACTCACGCTGCTGCAAGAAAGTGAGCCAGGCGGCGCAGCCTAAGTCCGCGGACTTTTCAACCTGTGGTATTCATATCACGAATCTCTCACTAGTTGTACTTGTTGTTGTATGTCATTAAGGTATCATTATCGCGTGTATAAGTTGGAGTGGTTCTGGATGAGATCACGGTCTTCTGAAACCAACACCCTAAACAAGAAGCGCTAAGCCCTAATTAAACCCAGAGCTGCGCGGGCTGTAGAAAGTTGCAGCCCGTTGACTGGCGACAGCAAGGCGTCCTCAACTCTTCCAAGAATCTGCAGGGCTTGTTGTCCGCTCTAGTGACTCATCATATAGTGTAGGGAGTGTGATACAGGAGCCTTAATAATTAGAATAGGGTTTGGGGGGCCAACGTACTATCAATGTAATGAGGAACCCCAAAATAATAGTATAGGTACTAAGGCCCCTACATTAAGCCCCAGACCTTTTCCCTGGATCCCAGCATTCTGCCGCTTGAATATCTTGGAAGATCTGGGGGGGTGCTGCAGGTCCTTGCTGTGTGGGAATTCGTATGCCAAGACGACTTCAGACTTGTTCAGCGATGTCGGGCATTCGGTTCTCGGCGATGGCGGCTGCGCTGGAAAACTGCGCCCCGAGCCCGAGCCTGAATGTTGCGAGAAGTTGCCTTCCCCCGAGACTTGTGCGACCCTTCAATAGCCCTTCAACCCTAAGCCCTGAACCTGGCAAGCCGGAACTCTTTTCAAAGCTGTTTCAATCCTCAACCCGAAGTCCAAAACGGAGACAACCTGAAGTGGTAGTAGCGGATTCGTGGCATAAGTCCTAAGTAGAGGCCTGGAGTCTTGGGGGTTGGTCGGGGTTTGGGGCTTGGCAGGATTCGAGGTTAAGGGTCTAAAGGCTTAGGGTTTTTCATGGCTCACTAGGGTTTAGACCCTCTAGGATCTAGGATTTACGATTTAGAAGTTTAGGGTTTAAGGGTATAGCCTGTGCACTCATCGCCCCCTACCCTGCGCTGCACTACACCCTAAGCCCTAAGCACGAGTGTCAGGATCCTGACCCAAAGGGTCCTAGGTACCGTTATTGGGGATACTTCCCCAAATCATATGGGAGTTTCCGAAAATTAGGGATACCTTATAATAAGGATCCTATTATTTAGGGTACTTTATCAGGCCCCCCTGTTTTCGGACACTCCCATAGGGTTTAGGGTTTAGGGTTTAGGGTTTAGGGCTTAGGGTTTAGGGTTTAGGGTTTAGGGGCCTGAGGGTCCCATGTTATGGGGAAGACTTCCCCAAATCATAATAGTAATTCCTAATATAGAAAGCCTACAGTCTACTAGAAAGGTACTTTGGGCCCTTTGGGTGAATCCTATGCCCAATGTTTGCTTTCAGCATCGCTGACCCGGGTAGGTCTAACGCCTGCCAAACTCCTGTCTTCTTGCTAGCTATGTAGGTTTATAGAGCTTCAGCTTTAGCTTTAGGGCTTTACGGTTTCAGGGTTTGGGATTGACGGTTCCAGGAGAGGAGTTGGTATTTATGTACTGTTCTTCCCTTCTTCTAGTGCTATCTATGCTATTTACAGCACATTTCCTCGAAGCTGGTGCAAACCTTGTTTTAATTATCCATGCCCCTATAGTTTTTTAGCCTTTGCCTAACAGCGCAGATACTGCAAAGCTGCGAACCCTGAAAGCGTAGGTTTCTAAAGCCCAGAATGCCAAAGTTCTCAACCTGAACCCTGCACTGTTTATCACTTATGCGCTAGACGGTAATCGGCAATCGATGCCTGCTTTAAGCACCCAGTGCACTTCAGAAGTACTACAGTAGAATCTGTATTATTCTAGCAGATCTCGTCAGGCGCCTGGCACTTCGGCCCGTCCCTACCCTCTGGCGCGAAGGTGGCGATCCACTTTTCGTGCCTCGACGGACATTGTGTTCCTACTTATATACTGTTGGGTTTCGGGTTTACTGCTGTAGAGTTTCTTGGGGTTTGGGGTTTATGGTTTAGGGGTTCCAGGGTGTAGGATTGCGGGTTGGTTGCTTGACTGTCAGAGACAGGAAGCCAGAGCGAGAGAGAGAGCGAGACGAACAATAACAATAAAAGCTCTCGTGCATACGTACTTGCGCACATTGTGTGTATATGCAAGAATGTACACACCGCTTTTAGTTATGTTTTTGCATATCTAGTCAGCCACCTATATCTATCTATCCGTCTATCTATCTGTCTATCCGCCCGATTCGACAAGGGCTCGAATGACTTTGGGCTTGTCGGAATTAGGGCTCCCGTGCGTGTACGCAGCAGACTTTGAAGTTTAGAGGGATCCCCGGCATCGTAGCCTGAGATGTTGTTAAGATTAGGGTTCAGGGTTCAAAGAACTTACTCAAGGTCCCATAGCGGGCTGCATTGTGAAGAATTGAGTTGCCTGATCACAACAACATCAATTCAGTTCGTGGACACCACAAGCCAGTGCCATCATGCTTGGTTTAATTAGGGCTGGGAGTAGAACTCGATGAAAAGGATTACTACTTGGGTCCTTAAACCCTAAACCCAAGCCCTCAACCCTAAACATTCACCCCTAAACCCTAAGCCCCGAAACTCTAAACCCCTAAACCCTAAACCCCCGCCCCGAGATCCTTGGTCTCGAGTCGCATGTCCTCAGATTTTCTTCCCCAGCTGTGAAGATCCTGACTTTCCGCATCCTACTGGGAGTTGGAGGATAGCTTCATTTGGGCTATGCAGAAGTATAGAATACCCTGTAAATGTCTGAAGAACTACCAGTACTACTACTTGGGGGGTTCCTTAATTATTTGTGTAGTATAATGGGCCCCCAAAGCCCTGTTCTAATTATTAAGGCCCCTACAGCAGATTCTGATCATGAGCTCTACATTCTCTACATCCGAGACCCACCAAACTCCTTGGATCCTACGGTCTATGTAAATCCCTGAACCCCCAAACCCTGCAACCCGAAACGCCCTCTTCAGAACACATACCGACACCTGTATGAAGCTTTGCTTGCATAGACCCCTAAACCCCAAAACCCTGAAAACCCAAACCCTTAACCCCCAACCCTGAACCCCGAAACCCTTAACCCCTAAACCCTAAACCCTTCAAAAACGCCCTAAACCGCTAAACCCTAAACCTCAAACCCTTAGCCCTAAACCCATAGACCCCTAAACCCTAAACCCCTAAACCCTCAACCCTCTCACAAAAAATCTCACAGGTCCCTGGATGCTGCCGCCTTGCCGGATGGCGCGACATGGCCTCCGGGCTGTTTGGAGAAGGCCCAGACCAGGACCCCCTTTAGGGTTTTAGGGTTTAGGGTTTTAGGGGTTTAGGGTTTAGGGGTTTAGGGTTTAGGTTTTAGGGTTTTAGGGTTTAGGGTTTTAGGGTTTACGGTTTAGGGTTTAAGGGTTTAGGGTTTTAGGGTTTGGGGTTCAGCCCCAAGATCCAGCTTAGATTCCAAAGGTTACTTTTTAAAGGGTTCCTTAAGGAGTTCTTTAAGCCCTAAACCCTAAACCGTAAACTTAAAGGGATCTATAGGGGATTAGGGTTACGGGCTTACCAGGACCCCCAAGGGCCCTTTAATAGAGCCCGTATGGTCCTTAATAGTGGATATTTGGGGTATATTAGAGGGTCGCTGGGGGCCTAGAGAAGTAGTTTACGGTATAGGGTTCAGAGTTTATACGGCTAAGGTACGCAGTTTAGGTTTTAGTGGTTTAGGGTTTTGGGGGTTTAGGGTTTTGGGATAGTGGTAGGGTTTAGGATATCTTGAGGGGTGTAGGTTTTCAGAAGGAGTCATGTGGGCACCTGAGTAACGAGAAATCGCGTTGCCTTGTAGTCCCTGTCTTTGGCTGTATAGTATAAACCGTCTCCTTCGTCTAATTTTGAAGGCCCGACTTTGACGCCAGGTATGGCAACCCGACGACACGAGGCAGCAAGCATGCCGACGCCAAGTGCTTCTTTTGATAAGTTTATTTCGCATGTCGCGCTTGGTGGGCAGGGGCAGGGCACTAGCTGAGCTTCCTGCGGATCGACGGCAGTTCATGCCTTCATCATGACTGACATAGTCCTGCATGCTGATGCTGCACATCTCCTCCTTATGCTGCACATGTCCTCCTGATGCTGCACATATCATCATAGATCCCAATATCCAAAGCCCGAAGCTGTTTTGCAAGGTCCGCGGCACGGGCACTGGCAGCTACGTTATGGGTGGACAAAGCCGGCGACTCAACTCGGGAGTCTTCGGAATCGAGCCCGACGGGCTTCAAGTACTTTATCTTCCTAGGGTTCGTTGAAAGGGTCTATAAGGGTTACTATAAAAGATCTACAAGTGTAGTAGAATACAGGGGCCTTACAAAATTAACTATACCATTTTGGGGGCTCCTTATCATAAGTATAGTATAATATACACAAAAACCCTAGTCTAATTGTTAAAGCCACTATAGCACCTGCCTAGTGCATAATTACTTCTTTGGGGGTCATACCTTACCGTTTTGCTGGGTACCTGTTTTTCTATATGACAGATCCTGGCGAAAAACCACAGGTCTCTCAAAATGGGTGTAGGGTGCGACTTTCTAGACACGCTTTGGGGTTCTATAGTTTTTTTTATTGAGGAGGGTATACTCCTGAAGAAATTCATCCTTCGTATTTCAAGACCCTTATCTCAAATCCTACCTGCACCACCTGTATAGACCCCACCCTTAACCACCCAACTCCAATGAACATCTCTTAATTGAATCTGTGAGGCCCCAATCAAAACTTAAACGCAAGCCAAGCTCCTAAATCAAATGCCTACACTGGAAACTTCGAAGAACTCAGTGCCAAACCTCCACGGTTGACTCGCACATCCCAAGACCTAAGCTTCAGACCTCAGGCAAAGCCCTTAAACTTCCACATCCGAAACTTGCAGCACAACACCTGGCCACTCCTGGCCAAGCAGGTAGACTTGGCTGGGTCCTCGAACCAGAAGCATAGTAGTCGTCGCCATCGTTGTCGTCGTAGTCGTCGCCGTCGTTGAGCGCGACCACCACCGCCACCACCACCACCGCCACCAC